ACTCACTTCTTCTGTAGATGAGGCTGGATCATGAATGATTCGCACGAACATAGACGCATTTATGTAGATCGGGGGCGCATTCCCTAAAACAAATGTAATCCACTGCGAGTTCAGCGGCTCAGATGTCGGGAGTAAATGAGGACTGCTGTTCATTATTACATCCAACAACAGAACACCTCAATCACTTAGGAGTCATTCTTGTCTATCTGCTCCGGCGGTGAAACAATGGCAGACTGATAACAGTCACTCAGGGCGGGTCTAAGATAAGACACCAGTCCAGTCTGTGCTGAAACGCTCAATCAAAACTATCGTGGGTGGGGCCTGTCTGTGTGACATCACACAGACAGGCATCTGAGATCGGCTCGATTTGAGAAAGGGGAAAACATTTAACCAGATTTTTTTAAAAAACACTGGGTGGATTTTTATCATTATAGGGTGGTTGTGTACACATACTGACAACACACATTTCAGTTCAAACAACTTGTAAAAGTGCATGTAGCATCCTATGACCCCTTTAAGAGGCAGTTTAGATGATGAAGGACGTTAATTCTAAACAGTTCCTCTATAACTAGGATTTAGTTCCCTGTATTATAAGTATTTACTACTCTATGGCTCTGTTTTAGTAAAATAACAAAACAATGTGTTGGATATTTTGGATTATTTTAATTGTTTTCATTTTTAGATTTTCTACTTTAGATTATCTGAATGATTTAGATTTCTACTTTTTAATGGTTATTTGATGGTGTGGCAGATATGTTAAAAAAAAGTCTGCAATGGCTCAGCATAAGATAATACAGCAGGATGAAACAAAATCTGGATCTATGAAACACTCGCAGTGAAGATACATACTGTATAAGAAAACACAAAAAGTTACCTCTCCCAGTTCAGCAGGAAAGTATGACTGTACAGAATTTGATGAGAAATTTCTTTATAAAATCTAAACATTTGGAAAACAAAGTATTAAAAAAAAAAAGGAATGTAGCCAGACATTATGTGGACATCATTTAAAGTCATTAATACTTAAGGACTTTAACTTGCATGTACAGTAAGATTATTGTAACAATTTCCAGAAGTTGTGCATTTGAAACATTTTTTTGCAAGGCACATAACCGAGACAAATGCTAAAAACAAGACATTTGCAAAATAAGAATGGGGAGATGAGGCATGGCAGGAAAAAAATACAAACAAACATTAAATGCTATTATATTTAAAACATGTTGCTAAAAAATAATAAGAATAAAAAACAGGTATCCTTTTTACAAGAAAGAACATAGTTTGTGAACGATAGTTAACGGCTTTTAGTAATTAGAACACAGAAAATACAAACAAACAAAGATCAATACAAATAATTTTGTAAAATAAAAAATATGCATTAAAACACAAACTTGTCTGTGTATTCTAACCCTTAAATGACCATGTTTCCTATGTTTTAAAACCCAGAAGAGATCAAGTCAAAAATAAAATGACATATTTAGCTACAAATAATGCAAATAAACAAACAGGTAATATACACATATTCCAAACCACCAGAAAAACATTGACCTCTACTGCACTAAAAGGCAAAATACAAGAACAAAAGATAAACACTATTTAAGAAAGAAAAAAGAAAAGAAAAAGAAAAAGTCTCTAATTAATTTTCATTTACAAAACAGACATTGAGTCTGGATGGGAAAGAAATTATGCCAAAAAACATTTGCTCTGATAATTCGCAAAAACATTAATATCCTGTGGCCTTCTTAAATTACACTTTGCCATGGACTGCTACATTAATAGATTTATCAAAGCTAAACTGACTTGGAAGGGTTAATGCGTTTCTAGGGACTTTTCTCCTATTTCCAGAGACATGGCTATGTTCTCTTGGTAATAACACACAGCATATGTGGATGCATGTACATGCCAAAACAAAAACTGCACATTTGTCTTTGGTCTGAGAATGGAAGTATAGACTCTAGAAGAGATCAACTAATTCTGTTGAGTACCACCGTTTACTGTTGCCGCTGCAGGCCATATTTACCCTGTCACATATCCGGATCAGTGCATTTACATGAAGCTGCTAGACTTTATGATCACTGCAGATTTATCCAGCATACTCTGTGGTGATCATGCATTCATTCTGATGATCTCGTTTTGTTGTCTAAGCACATCTACATTTTGGCTGATTAGTACAATGGCGGTACATACAGACAAACTTCTCCACACTGTGAGAGGATATCAATAAGAGATAGACAAGGAATTCTGGGAGCGGTCAAAGACCCAGTTCATAACATGCATCACTGACTACAGACAGAACAACAATGTAACAAGACGAGGATAAATAAGCAATAAATAAAAGAACATGTATAGCCTATGATGTGTTTGTTTATATTTGAAAATATTTTAAGAGAACATTTCAAAAAAACAAAAAAACAAAGTCTGAGATGTCCTCTTGATGTATTAAAATAAAATGGTTTGCAGTGACACAAAAGTAGAGAGATGAAAAGAGATATCTTTACAGTTTTAAGCAAATAGTATACAAGTATGCATGCACGCAGCTTACAACCTTAAACCATATGGCTCTATCCCAAATATCTTGCTGTGCCGCTTCTATATACGCAGCAATCAGAAGCTTCTGAGTTGTTTTGGTAACACTGTTCTGTCATGTGAGGAGGTATAAAGTTGTCATCAGTGGCGGGCACAGACCTTAGCAGGGCGGAAGGACAAAAGGGATACTGAAAAAATGCTATAGAACTAATTTTGTAATATGTATTGTGCTTTTTAATCAAAAACATCCTACCCTATGATAATTCTCACCTACAAATAACTGTTAACATAGTAATATCATGTTATTAATATCATGGTACTCTTTGAAGTTTTGAAGCACATTTGGATTAAAATGTAAATACCATGGTATATGAATGTGGTAATTGCATGGCACCATACAGGTTGTTGTACTGAATGATTACCATATTAATATGAAATATTCAAACACACTTCAAAGAATGCTGTTATAGAGTTTTTAAAAAATGGCTTATTGGTTACGGTTAATGTTTGGTTGAATTAGACAACTCTTCTGTTTTTTTAATGATATGAATTGTACAAAGCGACCACTCTTATTTTATCACTCTTATAAAGTCGGCAATTCTAACAGACTGATGTAATCGAAATTTGAGTTTTATTATTATTATATAGTTTGATGAACATCCATTAAAGCAATACACAGTCAATTCTCGAAGCCTCTCCGATCTGCTGGGGTTTTAAAACTCTTTTATTATACAGCTCAATAATTTGAACATTTTTCTTTCACTACCTGCAAAGAAACGAATATATTTTATAGTCAGTTATTGCGAGACTGAAAGGAACAGTTTGTGCACACCACTGCTCATATTTGCTGAGATGCTCGGCTCATGTTTGACACCCTTCTTCTTTTTCTTTTTATCTAACATATCAGTGTGCTATTGCTTTTAACACCTAATCACACAACTCTTCTAAATCCCAGAGAAAAGTGTTACATTTGAGCTTTTAATGTTTCTTTTTGCTTAATGATATAGAATAGCTGAAGACAAAATATATGTATAGTGCACGCATGTTCTGAGAAATGCAGATCACCTTTGGTCCTTGATTTGCCCTGAGTGAAAGGTTTGATTTGTAATAATGTGATGTATTTCAATCTTTAAATGTAATTTTATAATATTCTAATGCCCAAAACCTAAAGTTGGTGTAAGTGTCAAATTTAGATGTAGAGTTGTATGGCTGCAGGGCTGTGAATTTGGAGTGTTTCGTAAAGAGGCATGTCATCAGTAACACATAATAACACACTGAAAGAAGCACAGAGTTGCTGAGAATATTCAAAATAAAATAGAACTGAGACAATGCGACATCAAGAGTACAAAGTTACATTATGCAGTAAATGTATGTTTTTAGACCATTGTGTTGAACTGGTCATTTACTGTATGTGATTGTTTGCTGTTCTTTTTTTCTTTTCTCATTGATCAGCTCTGATTATGTATCCACATGCAGTCATTAAAAAATGTTTCCCTTACAGAACAAGGCTTTGGGATGCATTCTAAAATATTTGGCATCTCCAAATGAAGTACAAAATATGCATACAAGTAACTTCCAGATATGGCACTGTGGCGTATCTTTCTCTGGTCTTGAATTCTTTTTCCTTTCTCTCTTTTCAGTTAGAGAAGCACTGTCTGAAGTAACAGTGTTGGCATGTTCTTAAGGTTTTCTCTTTTTATACGGTTCATTTTTACTGCTTTTGAAAAGTTGGGGGAAACTAGATGTGCAAAGTTGTGCATGTTCTTTGTCATATGAAGCTTATTTTTTGAGTCATTATGGGAAATTGCTTGACTGAATGATTTTGTTTGTATCAACCAATAAGGTGTCTGGAATACCAGTGTTGTCCACTGTATGTATCAGACCCGCATACATACTGTCCTCCGGCGGTCACTGTGCTCTTCCTGTCGAACTCTTCCTAGTTCCGCCCATGTCCACTTGCAGGAGTCCATATTCCTCATCCTCGCTGTCCCCTGCTCGGTCCCGTCCCTCCTCCACACACTCATCATCCTCGTCTTCTTCATCCTCCAGAGCAGATTCCTCATCCCTCTCACGTTTGATGGCCTGGATGGTGGGAGGCGGCAGGGGGGCGGAAGCACCGGGGGCGTCATATGAAGGTTATATTTTTGAGTCATTATGGGGAAAGTAAATGTTGTTTGACTGAATTAATCTGTTTGTAGCAAGTGATCAGGTGTCTGATATAAAATGTTGGTCGCTGTTGTCTGTATGTATCAGACCCCCATATATACTGTCCTCCAGCGGTCACTATGCTCTTCCTGTTGCACTCTTTCTAGCTCCGCCCATGTCCACTTGCAGGAGTCCCCATTCCTCATCCTCACTGTCCCCTGCTCGGTCCCGTCCCTCCTCCACACACTCATCATCCTCGTCTTCTTCATCCTCCAGAGCAGATTCCTCATCCCTCTCACGTTTGATGGCCTGGATGGTGGGAGGCGGCAGGGGGGCAGAAGCACCGGTGTCTTTAGAGTCAGAGCTCTCCTCAAAGACCTCAGGGTTCTCCAGCATCTCTCTGATCAGAGGAGGCATGGGGCCTGGGATCTCCATCTTTAGAGTGATGGCTCGCTCTGCTCCTAAACAAACACACAAAGATGATCGTCTTCATGTTTTGTGTTTTTTTTAGGTCTATATTTTACATATTTGTGACCCTGGACCACAAAAGCAGTCATAAGGGTCAATTTCTCGAAATTGAGATTTATACATCATCTGAAAGCTGAATAAATAAGCTCTCTGTTGATGTATGGTTTGTTAGGATTTGGCTGAGATACAACTATTTGAAAATCTGGAATCTGAGGGTGCAAAAAAAATCTAAATATTGAGAAAAACAAAATATCTTCATGGAACATGATCTTTACTTAATATCATATTGATTTTTGGCATAAAAGAAAAATCTATCATTTTGACCCATACAATGTATTTTTGGCTATTGCTACAAATATACCCCAGCGACTTAAGACTGCTTTTGTGCTCCAGGGACACATTTATCATCAGTGTGTAGCAGAGGTGCTCTCAGGTCTTAAGATCTGTACCCTACCCAAACTTCTTGGACCCGACATGCATAAATTAATAAACGAAATAATAGAAAGTTGGCAGATTTTAAAAGAACTTGGGTCTTTTTAGGTCCATTCGGCAAAAGCACATGCATTTAAAATAACCCGAGATCCAAGGCTACTAATGTCAGTCCTAACTCGTGTCTGAGGCATTCATCAAAGTTTTGCACCCAAACCTGCTTGAGTCTCTGGTCGGACCTCGGATTTTCCGATTTAAGTGGATTCGTGAAGACTTTTAGTGTGTAGTAGAGTTTGCATCGAGTAGAAGTCAGCAGCTATCAACTATAGGCGAGTGTGCTTTAAACATATCGTAATGTAAGGTTCCAAGACTTTATCACATTCTTCATACTGAGTACCATACTGACATAAACAATGCGTACCTTTAGTGCTGATGCCTCGGAGGTCAGTGACCTTCATCAACATTCGTGGGAACATGTGAGGCTTGTTGGGGCGTCGCCGGCGAGCGTAGATCTTTAAGGCCTCTAGCAGAGGCTCCTGTAGCTGGTCCACCCGATGAGGTTCCTCCAGGTCCATGCGGTCTACTCATTCATCCAGACACAGAAAGGCACGACATGTCAATCAGAATTCAACGACAGCAGAAGGAATAAACCAAACATAGAGTCAAAATGTTTAGCAAAGAAGCAGGACAACCACCGCAACTACTGCTGAAGGTGCAAAGATTAAAACAGCACTCCGAGATAAGATTAGCACACCACAGAATTTACTCAGCTATTTATTGTTAACCCAAGTCATAGTTTCCACACGCAATTGAGTTTCTATCTGTAAGTAGTTGGAGAAGACGTTAATAACACACTGAGCGACAGCAGTACCTCCGCAGATGAGGCAGATGGCGCTAAGGAGCCCTGTCTCTGTGTCGTCCATCTCCAGGGGCAGGAGCTGCCCAGCGAAAGCAAACACCAGGTCTGTGAGTGGGCCGAAACCAGCGTTGTGCATCTGTGTTCTGTTGAGGGTCAGTCCATCCGAAAAGGTCATAGTGTCCTGTTCTGGAGTGTAGCGAGTGCAAATCCGCAACATCTGCAAAGTTGAATTTCACAATTCAGAAAAATAAAAAACTACAGTACATGAAAGGGCACAGTGTCTAATTTTTTTTTCTCAGAATCCCACACCATGTGCACTGAATTTTTAAAGGCCAATTCACACTGCACAAACAGACACAGAACAAAACCGACAGTCACCATATTACAGTATGTCACCCCTCAGATGACAAACAAACAAGCGCTGACCAATGCCAACACACACCGACAGGGCGTCTACACACTGATCCAACAAAACCAGATGAATGTGTCTGTTGCAGTTTGTCTGCATCTCTCAATGCAGAATAAATCGGCCTTAAAGTGACAGTTCACCCAAAAAAACAAAAACAATTCTGTCATAATTTTCTCACCCTCCACTTGTTCCAAACCTTTGTAAGTTTCTTTCTTCTGCTGAACACACACCAAAAAGCTGTCTGGTTAACCTCATTCTGCAAAATATCTTCTTGAGGTTGAGTAAATGATGGCGTTTTGTTTTTTTGTGAACTATCCCTTTAAGATATTATCTATTGTAGAATTTACTACTTAGAAGAACCATGCGTTCTACCAACTTCCCTTGTGCTACATCTAGTCTTTAAATGCAAGAATGAATCTCGTTTGCACTGCCCCTAAAACATAAACCTGGTGTTTTTGTTGTATTTACCAGTATATCAAGGCAGGCAGATTTCAGCAAGGTGATCTGGTCTGCAATGGTGAGTGAAGTAAAACCTGGCACACGTTTGGCAAACTCCACAATCTTTATAATGCACTTTGTGGAGAGCTCACTGAACTTATCCCACAGTCCAAGATCCAGCTGAACCCTATGATCCGCACTGGAATTCTGAAGTAAAAGTAAAACAGGAAAAAACTTTGAATATACTTAGCCATACATCTCCATACAATAGATAGATAGATAGACTTAAATTAGACTTAAATTCTCTTTATGGCATATGAAGTGTTACAAGTACAGAAAAAATGTGTAGTTTCTCATTTAATATAAGGCAATCAACTGATTGATCACAGTAGCCTTATATTAAATGAGAAACTACACATTAGATTTGATGGTTCAGTGCATGTGTAATGTGATTACATTGGTGCGGATCATTTGCATGATCTTGGCCCACACAGTCCTGCTCATGTTTATTTAGCTGACAGACAGAAGGATGTATGTGAATATGAATTAAAGAGTGAGAGCTCAGGACTCACAGTCGTGTATTTTCCGAGCTGACAGAGCGAAGGGAAGGTTTCCCTGTGTGCTTTGCTGACTTTATTAACCAGTTCTTCCAGTTCACCACTCAGCTCGTAGCTTTCTGGAAGAACCACCTCCTCTTTTATGTCCTTCTTTTTCTTATTCCTGTCATTCCGGACCGCTTAAAGATAAAGAACAACACAAAATGAAGCCAACCATGTAGCATACATGAATTCAAAAAAAAAAAAAAAGAAAAGAAAGAAAGAAAAAAAACATGCTACTCATGAGAGTTAAACAATATAATTTCTTTTGGGTTTTATTCATACCAGGTAGTTCAGAACAAGACTTTTTTTAAGGCAATCATAGATGTGCTTTTCACAAACTCGTGCATTCACTCTAAACTACAGCTTGCATGTCTTTATTGGTTGTGTGAACTGAGAACAATATAGATGGTGACGTACTGCTCTGATTTTTACCTTCCTTAGACATGCCAACCTCAAAGCACTTCTGCAGCCGGCAGTACTGACAGCGGTTCCGTGTCACCTTATTGATCTGGCAGTTTTTGTCTCTGTGGCAGGTGTACACCATGTTCTTCTGGATACTGCGACGGAAAAAACCCTGATATGCAGATAAGAGAGAGAAAGAAACACAAAAATATAGACAGAAAAAAGGTAAGTTTAAATTCATGGTTCATGTTTGAATTTAAAGGCTTTGTGATTTCATGAAGTTTAGATCATGAAAATTACTCAAAATGTTGTGTAATAGAGAACAGATTTTATTAACTTCAACAGAGAAATCAGCAGAGGGCACTAAAGAGTATGTTTGAATGAAAACAAAAGTCTTGATCTTGGCAGTATCACTAGGTGGAAGCACTCAAATCATCACATGTGCTTATTTTATGCATGTAACGTGTTATGATATAATTACATGTAATAGAAGTGTCTTACTTGTATAAGTCTTCACATTAGGCTGTATTTTCCACAAATCTTTTTCCCACTACAAGGTTCAAACATGATTAACATTGGAAAATGCATTCTCGGGTTTTGTTTTGTGCATGTCATGTATTTAAAGTGCATTCGGAATTTGTCTAAAAACAAATAACACTCTTCATAGAAATTTATATATATATATATACTAAATTAAACGGTGACTAACAGAATGTTTTTAGTTTGATCTTAGACATTAAGTGACATTTAGGCTTTGTCCAAATAAAATCTGTGGATTAAGTATGGTATGGTCTTAATATAAAAAGTAATACATATTTATTTGTTTGTTATATTGTCTGTCTGTCTTTGGGGAACATATTTTGTTTGATCAATTTTAAATCAAAGTGTAAGGTTCTTAAGGTTTGGACCAAACCATAAATATAATTTGAGAAATACTAATTAGTGTGGATGAACTAGTTGGTCAAAAGTATATATACTGTATAGGTTTGCGTACCTTGCAGCCCTCACAAGAGCTGACTCCATAATGGTAGCCAGAAGATTTGTCCTGGCACACAAAGCAGGGTTTATAGATACGAGGAGGAGGGGGTGGAGAAGGAGAACTGGGAACCATCTCCTCTGAGCTTGTGCTCTGGGTCTCCACCGCTGCAGAAATCAGGAAGAAAAAGAGCAGATAATTAGTGGTGATTACAAAGGTAAGAATCTGGTTGTTTTTTCGAACGCTCTATCCACACAGGCAGGTTCTGCACTGGAAAGCATCACCACTCTTCAAAAATGTAAAAATCTATTCATACTGTTAATATGTTAAAAATCTATTTTCACAACAAAGCCACTTTCACTCCCCTTTCCTGGAGTAATTGTTTAGAGTAAGCCTGGGCAAAGTTGTGAGATTATTTAACAGCACTGCACCATCAAAAATCATGACTGAATCGGAATGTGTTTCCATTTTAAATAATATTGACACATTTAGAATGAAAGAGACAAAAATTGGATGGTTGATGACTGAAGTTGTCAAATGCATTAAGAGGCATCTGCCCAGGGGTCTGAGCTCGAAGATAAATATTAAGTGAGGGTGGGGGGCAGAGGTGTTGAAAGAGAAGAGAGATGGGAAAACTGAGCTCCGGGGCAGATGGATGAATTGATAATATGCTTTGACTGACACCTCAGCATGTGTCACGCACCCAAATGGTACCACAGTCAGATTCATAAACATCCCGGACACCAGCCATAGAGGCGCAGACATATAATCTAACACGGTTTGCCCAATTTAAACACCACCGTGTGAATCCAGTGTAATATATTTTGCGCAAGTCCACACTGTCACTCGGTTCAACTTTCACCTCTAGACACCCTCTCTCCCCTCATGCTCTTGTTTCCTGGACCCTAAATTCCTCAGGCCTGGATGACTGGCTTTTTACTAGAGGTCCAGTCTCAAGATCGCCCGTAAAGCCCGTCTGTGGTCTGACCGAGGCCTGAGGCCTGCCTGACCGGCACTTTATTGGCAGTGAGTCACCTTGGCCAGCCATTCACACCAGCAGCAGCTGTCCCCTCACTCTCCACTTGTAAAAAATGAGAGAAAAACAGCTAAAACTGGGTCTTCAGAACTCCAGATTTTACGGCCCACAGAGGCCTTCGCCCCCTCCTCCTACTCAATGGAGCGGATCCCCCAAATGTGCCTCTCATTCTCTCTTTCTTCTCCTCCCTCTGTCCTCCACTCTCCCTCCACGGGCACCGTTTAACAAGAGCAAAATGAGAGAAGGTATAGATGAGAAAACTCATAAAGAAACAGGGGGAGCTGGGGCTGGGGGAGGCTGGGAGAGACAAATGTGTGAGAGAGGGTGAATTTTACTTTGACCTTGGCTTTGACAGCAGCTTTGGCTTCTCGAGACATGAACGTGAACCGAGAGTCACAGAAATACTGCCAATGATCTAATCGCAACCTCAGCGGAGATAAAATAGGCAATACTGATGATGTGACATTTGGCAAACTATGAAAGGACATTTTGTTTCCAAACACCACAGAAATCTGTGGTAGAGACGTTCCAAAGTCACAACCCAATTTTTTTTTTGCCAACAGCAGATATTCAAACGTCAAAATATACGTAACTTAGTCCGGTGTTGTATATAATTTGACTGGAATGAAAGCAAAGCTGTGAGTATAGTATATTCAACCCAATTCATGAAACAAAAGCAGAACATATTTCTGTGTCAATTGTTTATAAATCTAGTTTTGCTAAATTATGCATTCAGTTAATATATCTTCATAAATATACAAACACTGGTTAAAAACTAACTAACTACATAAAATAAAAAAAACTAAATAAATCTTAAAGCATCAAATCAGCATATTAGAATGATTTCTCAAGGATCATGTGACAATTAAGACTAACGTAATGATGCTGAAAATACAGGAATAAATTACATTTTAAAATATATTCAAATAGAAAACAGTCATTTCAAAATGTTAATAATATTTAAGAATATTACTGTTTTTACTGTGTTTTTGATTAATGAATAAATGTAGCCTTGGCCAAAAAAAAACGTGTGTGTATATATATATATATATATATATATATGCCTACTGAGTTATTTGATTGTTGTGTAACTTGTATTATAGAAAATAGTTCCTTGTTCACAAACAGACAGAATAAAACAGAACAGAGGGTCAAAAGATGCATTTTTGTTGAACTCATTTTAACTTTACACAGCATCTTAAAAAAAAAAAAAACAATAATCAGGGCACACAGGGCTGAAAAAGACATCTGTCTGGCGCATATGTATATAGATTCACAAAAAAAAAAAAAAAAAGCATAGTCCATGTAACATTATGTAGGTTAGGGTCAAGCACTGGTATTGTGTCTTTTTCTTTGGATTTTGTGCAGTTCTGTTGTACATATCAACACGTTTAGGTCTCTGGAATGCTGATAGACATAGTTCTTACACGTAATGCTCTGTGAAACACAAGGCCGAGAGTGATGGGCGAGTGAGTGGGTGAGAACGCAACCTGATCACTGTGTTTATGTAGTAACTTAGGCTGATTCGGCTTTATGTGTTTATGTGGCAGCAATGCTCGAGTGACACAGAGCGGTTCTGAAAACATCCAGCTCCCTCAGTGCTGGTGGAGTGGAAACCTGGCGCCACCATAGAAATGACTGACAGACATAAAGGGGAAGAAAGATGCAATGCTATTCTGTTCCCATTTTCTTTCTTTGTTATATTTAACATGCTAGTTTTGACTTGTGGAGGATATGGTCAGTTTTTAAATAAAGCAGGTGGAGCGTTCAGAAGAAACAGTTGAATGAAAGAAATTATTTTCTATATTGGCAATTGACAGCATTAACAGATTTCAGAACAAAGAGAAACATGTATAATTCCACTCTAACTTCTGCTCAGCCATTGTTTTATGAATGGGATTGAATTATATTTGTCACATACAGACTTCCATTAAAGCACTGATTTACACAGAAAGAAAATTATTTAATTGCATGTTCTCAGCCCATATTTCTGCAGATTACGTATGTTTGCACTGTTTAGACAATGAACACAGTGAAAGGTGATGCAGGTTTTATCAGTAAAGGAGCTGAGGACTTGACCAGCCAAGTTCTCTCTGCTGGCTCAGATTGTGCTGGGACTCGCTGACGGAAACACTGATTTAATCCCCGTCTTTCAGCAACCTCAGCTAAACTAACAGGTGACCACAGTCTCTCTGACATCATCAGAAAGCAGCAAGTTCTCACTTTATAGAGAAGCATCTTGCAAAGCAACATGTTGCCTGCTCAAGACTAGCATGTGCCTGATGGTATATTGTTATTTAATGAATTAGACGGATTCAGACATGACTATATTTTAGTATTTTTGTAGAAGTTTTCAACCACTGATCTGTAACATTCTACATAAACAAAAAGGTTTACAGTTTCAATACATAAAATATAAAAACTGTACATGGTTTAAGATTAGATTCAGGGTTAGTTGTTACTGCCCATTTACTGTATGTAATCAGTACAATAGTATGCACATGCAGAATAGGACTGTAAAATAAAGTGAAACCCATGTCATAATTAATGTACTTGTCACGGTCACTCGGGGAGGAAGGAACGAAGGAGCGAGGAGTAATACAAATCAAAAGGGTTTAATGAGGGTACTGCTCAGAACACAGGTAACACTGGAAACATTAAGAAGACAGAATGACATTTAACAGCAGATGGGAAACACAGGGTTTAAATGCACAGACACCAATGGGACACACCTGGGAGCAAATGAACTAATTAAACACAGCTGGAAATGCATTCACACAACGAGGACAAGAACAGGAAAGACCAAATAAGGAAAACAGGAACATACACGTGACAGATCGCCCCCCCTCCCGGACGGCGCGTAACGGTACCATCGGCGAGGCGGGGCGGGCACCATCGCGCAGACAGGA